AATTCGAGTGTACGACTTGATACTCTACTCTAAACCTCGAGTGGGACACATGTCGAGTTATAAGACTGTGGCTACAATCATCAAACTTATTTGTATTTAATATTTTAATGTTTAATATTCCTTACGTGCTAAAAGACTCCAATAATTCTAAGTTGCGAAGTTTGTTAAAGATAAATAACTCTTTCTAATACTGCCTCTTATATTTCGTTTATATCCATAATCTTCAAACAATGTTTGTTTTATGTTTCATAGTTTGACTAATAAGACTGATAAACTTCGTCACCTATGTATGTTTTTATGCGTTTTACTGTTAAGAGAATGATGGTTTTTTCTAGATACAAAGAGATCTTTTTGTTTGATATCTATTTGCATCTAAACATAAGAAGAATCCAATAGAATTGTCTAGGCTCAGCTTCGACAAGCACTAATGAAACTTCTTGTAACCAAGATCCTGACTTCTTGAAATTTTTCAGTAAGATTTGAATTCAAGATCTTGGTAAGAAAATGTAAGAATTCAAGAAATATCAAGAAGTCAAGATCTTGAACATCTTGTACTTTCTTAACTTCTTGTACCTAGATCTTGGAAATTCTTGATTCATAGAAATAAATTCTGCATCTTTTGACATAAAAAACAAAGTTTCTCAATTGAAATCATTAATTAAAAAATTACTTTAATTTGAAAAAATTGAAAAGCCGGTTGAGAACTAAGCATAAGTCCAGCTGACGTAGCGGAAACATTATATGAAGTTGTAGATGAATGAGATCAATAGAGCACAAAATTCTCTATCTGTCTATCTAGAAAAATTACTATTGAACCTGAGATAATGGGCTAAAAATCTTAAAAATGAAGTCGACAAAAGCACGTCGCAGTTCGACAGCTCAGTACCCGGCAACATTTTGAATGATGCTGAAACGAGAAAAATTCTATCAGACGTTTAACTAGCAGATTTTGTAGAGAATACAATTCTTTATCGAGTGGACTTAGAACGTGGGCAGTGCTTCAGAAATAACGAACAAAAGTGTCCCGTTTTATCTGGGCTGGGATATAATACTCTTTCTCAAATTATTCTAATTTTTGTGCGACTAATTTCCCAACATTACCGTAATTATCATGCCATCATCTGTACAGTTTTTGATAATTTTTGTCGTTTAAAATTTCACCTATTCATACTCAGACTGCATTTGGTTTTGAAAACCTTAAATTCAATTTATCTTGTAATAATTGAGACGCATCATCATCCTGTTGTTGCTTTGGATTGCCAATAATAATTGTACTCATTTCAACTGTGCCGGTAACACTTGACATTGATTTAATTAAAACATTTTGTTTTAAATGTACACTCTGATGTAGAACACTACGGTAGAAATAACACAATTTAATAACTAAAATTATTTAACATTATTTCAGAGCCAATATAAATAGTATCATGAACAATTATCAAATCAGGTGTATCAACATCGATGGTGTAGATATGAACATTTGAAACTATTTATGCTCCGCATAATCTTAAATAGAAATTATACAAAGGCATACTTAATAGGAGATTTAATAGTACCGGGTGTTACAAAAATATTGCGACATTTCAGAAAAATCTTTCTTTCCTATCCGCGTATTAAGATAATTGGTTTATTTGATATAGTTGAAGTAGATACTAGCGCCCCCTACTAAGGCAATAGCGTGTACTTTTTTAATTATTCTTCCGTTGGTTTTGCCATGGCTAAAAGTCACGATATCCGAGATATCGTTATTTCCCATTATAAAGATGGGAAAAAAGCTTCAGAAATTGCAAATTTGTTGGCAAATAAAGTTCATCGAAGTACAACTGATCGTTGGTTGCATCGGTACAAACAATCGGTTCAATTTATGTTAAACGAATCCAGGAAGACCAAGAACTGGCCGTACAAAAAGACGTATTTATCTTGTGAAAAAAAGACTTGATTCCAACATTTCTCAAAAAAGTTTACGAACGATGGCCAAAGATTTTCAAACTTCTTATCCAACGATCAAGCGAATACGAATATTGATCTAAATAAAAAATGTTATCGAAAAACTACAGTCCAACACTTAAAAGACGATCAAAAACCAATAAGAAAACATGTTGTCAGTGGATTAGAAAGAACATCAATCGTAATAAATTAGAAAGAATGATGTTTACTTATGAAAAAATTTTCACCAAGATTGGTTATTTCAATCCAAAAAATGATGTTATATGGGCCGATGATCGGTCTGATGCTAATGAACGTGGTGGACTTCATTCAATTCAAAAATATCCAGTGTGTGTTATGGTAGCAGTTGGTGTAACATGGTATGGACCTTTACACGTCCATACTTTTTTTTAAAAGGTGAACGCCTCAATGGTCAAACTTATCGTGATGAATTATTACCATTTTACAAAGAAGAAGGTGACCGGCTATTCGGACACAAAAATTGGGGCTTCCAACAGGATGGGGCTAGCTTCCATAAAGATAATAAAGCTCAAAAATGGTGCAAAAATAACTTCAAATTCTTTATTCCAAAAGAAAAATGGCCACCGAACTCACCTGAACTTAATCCACTTGATTATTCCATCTGGGATAACATCTCAAGTAATGTGGAATATCATAAGGTCAAAACAATCAACGATTTACGTCGAGAAGTCGAGAAAGCAATGAAGAAAGTTGACGTT